GGGAGGGAGGGAGGGAGGGAGGGAGGGAGGAGAGAGGATGTTTTCTCATCTGCACAGCCCCACACCACACAGGGGGAGGAGGGGGGGGACAGGAGGGAGAGGAGGTGACAGTCAAGCAAGCAATAGCTGCATCAGCCACGACACTGCAGCAGTGCGGGCTTCCTGGGAGCAGTGCCCAGCCCAGGGGAACCGCAGCAGCAGACAGGACTGGTGGCAGTGGCTTCAGGGGAAGGCTTTTGCCAGGTGGGGAGGAGAACTGCTGCAGCATGAACTCCAGTGAGCCCGTGCCCTGGTGACACATAGTGCCACAAAGCAGTGCCCACGGGCAGGCACTGCAGCAGTGCCCGTCTGCTGCCCAGTCCCTGTGCAAGGGAGGCTGCCCAGCCTCCAGCCTGGCTCCTCTCTCCTCCTCACTGTGGTCTACAGGCTCCCGGCTATGGCTCCGTCCCAATCCCTTATCCCGGCTTATCCGTCTCTGACCTCCTTTCAGGACAGTGCAGCTGATGCCAGGGATTTCAGGGAGGTTCTTTGCACTGCTCAATGGAGGGCAAAGGCAGGAGGACATGGGAAGCAACACAAGTGGAGAAAGGGGTGTAAGGGACTAGAGGGGAGAAGAGAGTGAGTGAGTGATGGGGTGGGGAGGTGAGGCTGGCTTTGGGCTTGTCATTTGGCTTCCTGGCCTCAACAAGGGCAGGTGGATCTGAGCAGAGGGATGTGACTACGGGCAACATGACCACATAAGCAGAGAGGTGCTGCACCAGGCACGGGTCTTGCTGTCAAAGATCACTTTAATGGGGTCCTGTTCCTCTCTTCCCCATGAAGACTGTTGGGGCACAGCCAGGGCACTGCTGCAAAGGAAGCTCGCAGCTGCACGGGCAGGGCTCTGGAGGAAGTTCCCGTGGTGTGTGCCAGATGGCGTGAGGAGCACTGCCAAAGCAGCTGATGGGGGATCCCAGCCCAGATGGACGTGGTGGAGGGCCCTGTGCAGGCTCCAGAGAGCCCTGGTATCGCTGACTGAAACTCCAGTACCAGGGGGAGTTTTCAGCTCTTGCTGAAACTTCAGAGCAGCGTCATTTCCTCACACCCCTGGAATTTCCACCCACCCAGGCAAGGGGGTCGAGAGCCGACTCTGGCTTCCCCCAGGTGCCCTCTGGGCTCCCCTCAGTGCTGTGCCCTGCTATTTGCAGGTCCATCACTACGTGGACCCCCACCCTGTCCTGCGCTGAGCCCCTGTGCTGGCCGTACTCCTGCCAGATGCTCACATGGCGTGATTCTGGCTGGGGAAAAACATCTTCCCCACCCCATGTGTACCCCAGCCTGGCCCCTGCACTGAGCTGTGCAAGGGTCCGGCTCCACTCGGGGCTGAAGGAATCATCTGTGGGAGTCGGGGGAGGAAAACCTGGCAGGGGTGGGAGTGTGGGGTGACACGCATCTTTCTGCTGCTGATCCATCTCCTGGGGGGATGTGGCTCCCTGGCATCGTGTGGCCCCACTGCCACGGGAATAAGAAGGTGGGATGGGTGGGGGCAAGTTATTTTGGACCCCACAGGGAGCAAGGTTCAGCAAGAGCAGCTCTTTCAAATGGCCATCCTCACCCACCAGCCTGTTTTCCACTTCAGGTTTAACTAGGCGCATCCAAAACGCCTGGTTTCCTCCTCTTGCAGAGATGTCTCCTGGTCTCATCTGCTTCTCCACGCCAGGAGCAGAGTGAAGGGTTGGGAGCTGGGCCCAACGCCTGTGTTTCTGCAGGGCCATCTTCCCCCTTCCCCCCTTCAGAGCCCTCTTTCCATGTCTGAGGCGCTGCGGCCTTCAGCAAAATGGCTCCTGGGGCTGCGGGCTGAGCCAGGCGCTCTGCCGGGGGCAGTCGTGCGGGGAAAGAGGGAGGGAGAGTGCCAAGTTTGCTGCCTGCAGCAAGGGGACAGAATAAATTCAAATAGATAACCAGTTCCTGGACAAAACGTGGGTAGATTCCCACAGTCTGTTTTTTTTAATAGCAATTTTCAATTTCTACATTTCCTTGAACTGATGGTTTTAGCTCCAACTCCTAAGATCATTCTTCTTTGAGCTCCCTTCTCTCTGTTGGTGTCTTGCCTAGACATCAGAAGGGTGAGCACCACATCCTGGGGCCTCTCAGAGCTGAACATGTATTCTGTAAACTCTCTTCTGTCAGTCACTGGAAAAAAACAAACAAGTTGTAGCAAGGGCAATTTCTATATTCAGGCAACCAGATTATCTCTCCTCTCCTCTCCTCTCCTCTCCTCTCCGCGGACTCACCATGGCAGTCGAGAGGATCCATGCCCGCGAGATCCTGGACTCTCGTGGGAACCCCACTGTGGAGGTGGACCTGTACACACAGAAAGGTACGCGGGTGAGGACAAGAGATGGAGGGGAAGTCCTGCCCACCCTGGCAGCCTGGCACACTCCACCAAGAGTGTGGAGGGTCTTCTTTGGTGAGCCCCTGGCAGTCAGCAAGCCAGGGGAAGAGATGGAGACCAAAACTCTGCTGGTGGCTCTACTTGTGCGTGT